CGCTTGCTCGCACTCTCCATCGTCGACGCCATCAGCTCCCCGTGTTTCTCCATGCATTCCGTCAGCGCCTCGAAAGTCTGCTGCCTCGTGTTCTTCCTTTTCCCAGAACCGTCGGGGGTGCCCGTCATCTGCGAAGAGCCTCGCGTCGACCCCTCCTCGTCGTCTTCTCGCCCTGCAACACCTTCCCCGTCCGCCACCGAGTCAGGATCCATGTAAGACGTCGAAGGTGGGCGCACGCCGCCAGACGCACCGGTGTCTACCACGTTCCTCGGGTGGATGGTGTGGTTCATCCCAGTCGACCCCTCTATCTCGTCATAAACTGCGCGATCCATCGTGAAATTGAAGCCCCTGCTCGCCCTCTCCTTCGACGTCAACTGGAAAAAGTCGGCACCCCCTGATGGTGACTGAAAGTGATGGACTTTCTTGAACTGCTGCATTAGATTGTCCCACTTCTTCCCGCATTTCTCCGCATTCCTGTACACGCCGACGTTCTTCAACCTTTGGGCGACGTCTTGCCATTTCCATTCGCGCGGTTTCATTCATGCGTATGCGTGCCCCATCCCCTGCATATGCGCATCTTGGTCACGTTTAGCCCTTATGAGGGCTATAATGTGTTCCACGGACCAGAAGTTGCGCTTCTCCTCCGCATCACCATCGCCTTCGCCACCGCTCCCCTTTCCCTGCCCTTTTTTCGCCCGCGAACGAGCATTGCGGCCGGAAGGCTTGGACTTCCCACCCTTACCAGCCATGTCGGTCTGCAACGATGGCGACGCGTGACCACCCCCCCCTTCCCCACACTCTACGTCGTTGTCTTCGTCGTCGTCGTCATCGTCTGCTTCCGCCGGTGGATCGTCCGTCTCGTTCTCGTTCTCCCGGTCTCCCACGTGAAGACGCTCCACCCCCCGTGTGATGTATTCCTCTCGCCGCAGCCGGTGATCCCGCCGCAGGTCCCTCCACACCTCCCTCCCGTCGCGACCATTACCAGCATCCAAGAAGTCGGTCCCGCCGTCGACTCCGACGCCACGGCCTCGTGCCACTTCCGACGCCACAGACAGGGGAGATGGCAACTGCATCCACTCCGGCCGACCCTGGGCGCCCTTGGACAGAGAGGCCGCCCGTGGTTGGGCCGTCGACGAGTTCCGGTTCGCTCCCGCCGTCTCACTCGCCAACGCCCTCGTCCTCGCTGATCGATCAACAACTGTCAATTGGCCGCCTTCGTCGCCAGGGTGGGGTCGCACGAGCACTGTGCGCGATGGAGTTGTAGACCGCCCGGTGGACAAACCGAACGACAGGTTGACACGGCCATCTCCTTCGTCTTCGCCAAGGCCAGGCCGAAGGAGTTCAGTGAACGACTGCTCGTACACGCCGCCGCCCGTCCCGCACAGCTCCGTGGCTGACCACTCCTGCGTTGATCCGCTGCCCAACGACACGGTTTGTGGCCGTCTCTCCACCTCCTCCTCCTCGTCCGATGAGCCAGGGAGTGGTTGCAAGTGCGGTGGCAATTCATCACACCCAACCCGCTGGGAGGCCCTGCCAACGGTCGACAGGCTCCCGCCGCACCGCCTTCCTCCGACCTGCTCCCCACCGGACCGGGGGATCGCCTGTCGTGCCTCCATCCTGGCGTCCTTCATCGAAGACTTTGTTTTGCGTCGAAGAGAACCACAAGGAGCAGCAGCGGCAGCCTGCGGAACACGTCAGCCATAAAACAGTCGACGACGATGGCAGCAAACGGAAGACAACGCGGGCGCCAACATAACAGTGGAGCGCAGTGCTGCAAACGGCCGTCCCGACTTCGCAACAAACCCCCAAGGACGTCTTCGGTCTCCCACGGTCAGTGCGTAATTGGGAGCTGGAGTGCGGCCTTAAAAATTCGTATCTGCCGACCGTTGGGACATTCCCGCGGATTGCCATACGCGACAACGCAAGACGGTACCTTCTGGACGTCGGGGATGCCGGTTGGCCGCAAACGGTAACCGTTGGAGTGAAGCCGAACGTTGCCGACCCAACATGTCCGTGGAGACGCAGCAGGACCACCGATGGACCAGACGAAATTGAAAAATGTCATCAAAGGAGCTGCCGTCGACGCCCCGATTCTTCCGGAAGCTCGACCTCCGAGGGACCTCGAGAGAAATCGTCAAAATGGCTGTGGCCCCGAGGAATCCCCGAGGAAATGTTTTCACTTTTTTTTTTCCGCGTCTTCCCCGAGGATGAGTGTAACGACCATTTCCTTGGGGAATTTCGGGCCCCGAGGAGTGTCGAACGAGGCCCTAAGCGAACTGAAACATCCAAGTAGCTATTCCCTAGGGAGCGCTCCATCCACGTAAGGAAAGCACATCAACCGAGTTGCTGGACATAAAGTGGTGGCATAAAACGCCTCAAAGTGTATCCTATTTAGAATATCAAAAGAATGTATCCTTATTACACGGTCAAGTTCACTATGCTTTGGTTAATCACATGGATATTAAAAAGAAGGGAAAATTTGTCTGGCGCCCCTGTATTTTCCATTTATTTGCGTCGCGCCCCTCCGACATGCGAAATACCCTGCCGCAACCCTGGGACTGAAAATCTTTTTGGCAGGCCCCCGTCGGTAGTGGTGCAACTTTCCATGACGCCCTCCCTCAACAGGCCGTCCCATTCCATTGGGCTATGTGCCATATGCCCTCGTAAGGAGCACCCATCTTCCTGTGATGCCCTGCAGCAGTTTAGCGCTGGAAATTTGAATTCAATTTCGAACAGTGTTCTTGTTGACGCGCCACCATTTTTTTGACGCGCTCCTGAAGGCCAACCTCCTGTCGTCTTCGTTTTCGCAAGGTGAGTGTCCCCCCCCTTCTTCGTTCCTGCTCGTCGTCGATGCTCGTGTGTGTGTGTGTGTGTGTGTGTGTGTGTGTGTGTGTGTATTTGTGTGACACGCACACACACACAGAGAGAGAGAGAGAGAGCGAGAGAGAGAGAGAGGGCAGACGACACTTGAATGTGTCAAGGTGTGTGTGTGTGTGTGTGTGTGTGTGTGTGTGTGTGTGTGTGTGTGTGTGTGTGTGTGT